TTTTTTTTGGGGGGGGGGTGGGGGGTCCGTATATTCAGGATCCTGCCGTTTGCGGTCTGGTTTTGCATCCCCTTTATGCGTTTGAATTGGACGGCCTCTTCTTTAAGCCCAGAACTATTAACCCTGTTGTAAGCACAAGATGAACCCCATGACATATCACTGACTGCATCTAGTATAGGGGCCTTAATAATAACCCTATAATACTTTGGAGGTTCCGTATTATAATTAAAGTATAATGGGCCCCAAAACCCGATTCTAATTATTAAGGCTCCTACATTAGACTGCTTGATGCATGCGGCTCGCTACCAGAACCCCTTTAGCACCTGCATGGCTGTTGGAAAAGTTTAGGTTGCGCACGAACTCAGAGACGCCGATGGCCTTACTTAAGAAATAAAGCCTCAATCATAATAGTGGCCTCTCTCAGTATGAAAGGCATAGTCTTTGTTAAGCGGTACCTCGTGGGTTTTTCTGCCGTGCTGTACAGATATTTCGTGCAACTAGCACAGCTGGCAAAGCCACTGAGCTGGAATGCGCGAGTACCATATATGTGGACCCCTCCCGTCCCTGAATGTTGCTAATGAGGATCCCTTATCAAACGGGCTTGTTGATCACAGCTTGCAACGCAAAAACTGATAGATAATCAGCTGGACTTCCAGATACATGTACATACATACATGCGTACATGCATTTATTCATTCATTCATTCCTTCGTTCATTCATACATACATGCATACATACCCGTAAACCTGAAACCCAAACACCTACGGTTCGGGCCGCGGCTTGACAGCTGCAGCGCCTCTTCGGGTCCACAAGCCATCAGCACTACCACGGCTACAAAATGGTCTGGTTTCAGTGAATTGGGCGTTTAGATATATAGGGTTTGAGGGTTTATAGGGTGAGACATTGGCGACGCTCCAAGTGGAGAGGATAACGTGTAATGGCTGTAACAGCAGCGCAAACAGAATCTCGTCATCAGCCTAGCGCACCCCAAGGCCCAAAGAAGCACGCAAGCACGGCGACCCGAAAAGGACTGGGCTTGGTTTTTGCATGGCGAAGCCATCACAAGAGCCGGTATTCGACGGTGCAGTTTCCTCCGTTGCCTTTGCAGGCGATCGGAAAAGCGTTTGCTGAGCGGGCTTCTGCCATGGAGAAACTGCTGCACAGCGCATGTCTAGATCACCCTCCCGCAATGACCACAAAGCATGCGGTTGGCTTTGACGTGCGTGGTCCGCAGCACGCTTGAGCCACAAGGCCGTATCCCCAGAACACAATAAAATCGTTCGAAAGCACCGACAGATCAGAGGTAGTCAATCGGCAGAGTTGACACGAACTTTGAGCCTACCAGAACCGAATCCTAGACCGTGGGTTTACCACACAGCAACTTCCTTTTCTTCTCGTGCGATGCTCTGTCTGCTGTGTAACCACGTGCAGCCGCAGATGGGTTGAGATGTCTTGCGAGGACCCAGAACTGGTGTGCCTGAGATGCAGGTAATATAGGAGCCCTCATAATTAGAATAGGTTTTTGTGGTATATCAAACTATAACTATAATAAGGAACCCCCCAAACCCTACTCTAATCTATTCTATAATCATTCAGGCCCCTATAGTACTGTCACCCTGCTGCCCTTACCATCTCGTTCTCCAACTTGGAGGCCCAGGGGACTTAGTAAGTCGGTTATAAGTAGAGTTATATTTGGGGTAGCTCCATTTAGGGGACTTATAACTCTACTTATAACCTACTTACTAAGTCCCCTGGGCCTCCAAGAAGTTGGCCCTACGCCCTTCTGCCAAGAGCTCTCCGCGTAATCTCCCGAAATAGCAAGCGGTACAACATCGGATCCCTCGGAACACAGACAACGCTGTAGAAGCCCGCGCGGAAGCCGAAATACCCTAAACCCTAGACCCCTACACCCCTGAACCCCTAAACCCCTACACCCCTAAACACCTAAACCCTAAACCCCCACACCCCTAAACCCCCGCACCCCCTATTAACCCTAAACCCAAGGCCGGATGGGGTGAACGTCGGCGGATGGTTCTGCCTGGAAGACTGGTTCTACTCACAGTCTCGTGGCAAACAGGCCCGGCCTTAGTTGGGAGTTTCCGAAAATAGGGGTACCTTAATTTTGGGGTCCTTATAATAAGGATCCTACTATTTAGGGTGCTATATTAGGGTCCCCTATTTTCGGAAACCCCCATATATTAGAATAGGGTTTTGGGGGTTCCTTTAAGGGTTTAGGGTTTAGGGTTTTGGGGTTCTATAAGCCTTAATGATTAGAATCGGGTTTCGGGGTTCCTTTAAGGGTTCTATATGAGGGCGACTACCAGGGAATAGGGTTTTGGGGGTTCCTTTAAGGGTTTAGGGTTTAGGGTTTTGGGGTTCCTTTAAGGCTTCTATATATAAGGGCTATACTATAAGGGGCTTAGGGTGTAGGGGCCTGAATAATTAGAATAGGGTTTTTGGGGGTTCCTTTGTTAAGGGGTTCTATAATGGGCTACTATAAGGGTTTAGGGTGTAGGGACCTTAATGATTAGAATAGGGTTTGGGGGATATCATACTATAATTGGCATAAGGAACCACCCAAATAGTATTGGTAAGTACTAAGGCCCGTACTTTAGGTAGACATGCATACATTTACATACATGCATTCGTTCAGCTGGAAGGTTTTAGTTTCTAGAGTGAGAACTGCAAGCAGCCCCCTCTTCACAGAAGCAGATCTCATCTCTTCGTGTCCGGGGGTAGAGGATTGACATCTTGCCCGAGAAGTCTGCAGTGTGCTTTTGGGGTGGGCTCTTCTGCACTTGCCACAGGCTGGTCACCTCGTTGCGACCGAAAATCCGGATGCTAAGCAGCAGTTTGCCCTGATGTGGTCTCAGTGGTCGGTGTGGAGAACAAGAATGAACTCATCACTGGGGCACTAGCATCGTGTTGGTTTATGTTGTTCATCTCCATGTCTGGCCAGGGGTGTTGATTGGACAATGTCGATGAATAGGTTACTGAGGTTGTTGTTCATGGTAAGGATGCGGACCATGATAGACGTGTTGATGACTACAATTACAATATGAATCACAATACAGTGGCAATATTCCCATGTCCGTGCTACCATCATCATCATCATCATCATCATCATTACCGTCATCATCACCGTCATCAGCGTCGTCGTTATCGCCCCCATCATCAACGTCGTCGTCATCGCGGTCCTCCTCCTCATCATCATCATTATCATCACCATCGCCATCACCATCACCATCATCACCATCACCATCATCGTCATCATCATCGCCAACATCATCATCACCACCATCACCATCACCATCACTATCATTACTATCACCATTGCCATCACCATCATCACCACAACCAACTTCGCCATCATCGCCATCGTCACCACCATCACCATTACCATCGCCCTCGCTCTCACTCTCTCCATCATCGTCATCATCATCGTGGTTGTCGTCTTCAGCATGTTCATCTTCGCCTGCACTGCAAAGAGCCTGCTTCCTTTCAGGACTACGACCCAGCCACCTCTTCGCTGGACCCTGGGTGCTTTGTGGGCCATGTGGGCACACTGTTCCCACAGCTCAGCCCTGAGGACGTGGTTTCAGCTTCCGGGATGATATAGGGACTAAATGATTACCAATACTATTTTGGGGGGTTCCTTATTTTAACTATAGTATAATGGGCCCCGAAACCCTATTCTAATTGTTCAGGCCCCTGCATTAGGGATTGCAGGCTTCCACAGGCTTTGTAAGGGGTTCCAACATGGGGAGCTCGAAGAATTCATGATCGTATTCCTTAGGGTTCCTTATTAACTCTGATCATTAGAGTCCCGATCTTATGGGGTTGTAAACGTTTCTCAAGGTTTTCTACTTTATAAGTGGGTTGCCAAAGGAGGTTTCCGGTGTTCAGGGGGGTTTCTGACCAACAAAGCCGCAAAGCCTGGGCGATAGAACTCATCAAAGAGGGTTAAGGGTGTAGGGTTTTAGGGTTCAGGGTTTAGGGTTTCAGGGTTCAGGGTTTAGGGTTTTAGTGTTTAGGGGTTGGGGTTCATGGTTTTAGGGTCATGCCGGGCCATGCCGAGGTTGGCTTGTTGAACGGCTAGCTCGCATCTTTCCTGTGCTAGATGCGAGCGGCTTGCATCCAGCCCTTCGCCCCGAATCCGAAACCCTTCAATCACTGAACGCCAAACTCCAAAACTCTAGGGACTCTAGATCCCACATCCCCTACTCCATAAAATCCCCAACACCTTGAGAACTCAAAGCCCTGACCTCAACCCGCCCCCCGCCTCCCCCCCACACCCTGAAATCCGTAAACCGCGAAAACGTCCTAACACCCTAGACCAGAACGCCACCACGTTGACAGGAAGAGACATGATCTGATAAACAAGTTAATCAACTAAACTCAAAGGAAACACAACGCTGGAAGTTAAACTTTACGGAAGCTGTTTCTGCTGCCACAGTGAGTCGCATGCGGGAGTGTGGTGGTCCTGGACTACCTTTGCGAGTGAGGGCTTCGCTCAGGTCTGATTGCAAGCGGATTGCTGAAACTCGAGAGAAGGCAGACGCAAAACATTGCCCAAAACAGACGTACACACCTTTTGTAAGGCCCTGACTTATAGAAACTTTTCAGGAACCCCAAGAATCCGAAAATCTTGCGGCAGGAATTGGGCCGGCTTCGGCGTCAGCACTTCGGCTGTGAGTCCGACCTCGTGAACCTCCTTCTCAAGAGCGGCTTCCAGGACTTTCACCGGGGGCCCTTTGAGGGCCACGGCGAACTCCGCGTCCTTTCGGGATTTCGGGCCTTGAGGTTTTCGGGGTGTAGGGTTCAGGGGTTTAGGGTTTAGGGTTCAGGGGTTTGGAGTTTAGGGTTTTGAGGGCTCTGTTTGAAGAGTTCTATAAGGGTCTAGGGTTCAGGGTGAAGGGTTCCATAAGGGGGGTTTAGGGTTCAGGGTTCAGGTTTACTGTATTTGGGGGTTCTTTTGAAAGGGTCCTGTAAGGGTTGCTAGACTGGGAAACTTAAAGTCTTAAAGGTTTACTACCGGGGCCTGAACAAACAACAATGGCAGTGTTAGGGTTCCTCATTGGGATCATGGTATGACATACATCAAAACCAGATTCTCGTTATTTTAGACCCCGATGTTAAAGCCTCAGGGCTCTTACAGAGGGCTGGCAGGGCTTTACAAGGGTTCTTGTACGGGTATTCAAGTGGATATAGGGTATTGAGTTTGCAATGCTGTTAGTGGGCTTGTAGGTTCTGAAAAGGATTCGTATCAGGGTTCTTGTCACTGTCAGAAGGGGGTTAGGGTTCGAGATATAAGCCTTGGGCTTTAAAACGAGAAAGAACGTTTAGGGTTTGGGGGTTGGGGTGGAAGCTTAGAGATCGGACTTTGGGCTTGGGTTTGAGTTATGACTGGTGTTAGTATTAGTATTTTCATTACTATCAATTCTAGCACTAGTATTATTATCATCGTTATTATCATTATTATGATTATGATTATTATTATTATTATTATCATGACAGGCTTTCCTAAGTATGGCGGCTTCGCGGTTTTGGGATTGCAGCTTTGGGTTTTGAGGGGCCTTTGTCGGTTAGGCCGTGCGGTGTGCGGGACAGGCTTTACGGCAGAACCCGTGGCCCCGGTAAAACCCCCCAAACTCGGGATAATTTGGAAGCCGATTCGGCAGATAGGGAAACCACCAAACGAGCAGCAAACGCTGATACAGATGTGTACATTGTGTATAGGTATGTATATATATATATAATATACACACCTACACATATACACACATTGTATATATATATATACACACATACACATACATACATACATACATACATACATACATACATACGTACGTACATACATACATACATACATACCCATACACACATATGTATGTATGTACGTATGTACGTACGTACGTACGTACGTACGCACGTACGTATGTATGTATGTATGTATGTATGTGTGCATGCATGTATGTATGTATGTTTAATGATCATTTGCAAATATATGAATAAAGACGGTTACAATGAAAATCAAGCGACCAACTATATTATGTATATATACATACATACGTACATACATACATAGTCGGAGGCATGATTTTTATGTATCTCCTGAACTTAATTCTCGCGGAACCCGAAGCCCGAGAACCCGAACACGCAAGAGGAAGAGCGCATCTTGAGCCTGTTCTGGGAGCATCGACGTTGCAGCTTTTCCGCAGGAGCCGTCGCCATCGGGGCTCGGCCTTGTGGTTATGTTTTTCGGTTGAGGGTTGAGGGTGTAAGACTGTTGGACTTTTGGGGTATTGTGTTTAAGGTTTGGTTGTTAGGGGTTGAGGCTTTACGTAAACCCGCGTCAACCTTTTAAGCCTTCGACAGTATTTTAATTTCTGAGGTTAAGGTGGGATTTCGGGATTTTCTTGGGTCAATGCTGAGATTTGGAGTTGTTGGGGCTCAGTGCTTGCAGGGTAGTGCTTCGGCCCGAATCGTTCAGGATGGTCAGATTCAGGGAATTGTCAATCAAACACAACCCCTTTCTATTGGAAAAAGATTTGGTGTTTGAGGCCTAGAGTTGTTGGAGATATTTAAGGCTTTTCCGCGCTCGGACAGAGCACTTCGAGAACTTGAACTTATGCAGACCTTGTGTTGCTAGCTCCAACCAGAAGAAGCGGTAGGCGGGGCTAGCTTTGCTGGGTATACTGCTTCAGTCGCCTGGGTGGGGCTTATAATTAGGGCTTCGGGTTTGAGGATTGCCCGGGTTGATTGCAATCAAGTCCTGAAAGCTCAGAGAGAAGTATTGAACTAGTGGCTCCCCCTAAACCCTAAACCCTGAACCCTAAACCCTAAACACCCTAAACCCTAAACCCTAAGCACTGCCACCGAGGTTACATCACTCCCTTGGACTTTGCCCAGATCCGTGCTTTGGGGATCAGAGTCCTGGCTGCTGTGTGCGTCAGGCACTGATGACGACTGTGCGGCGCAGAATAAGGGTTGTTGTTCCTACACATGAACTCAAAGCGCCCGCATATATACACATGCATGCATACATGTACATGAATAGTTGCATTTATATGTATATATGTGTCATAATGTAACATGTTACGGTGTATAGGCTTGTATGTGTTTATACATATTGCTATGTGTTTATACATATTGCGTGTGCTCCGCAAACTAACCTCAAGCCCCACCCCCGGTCGAGAAGCTCCAACTGTTCGCGCAGTCCGACGCCAGGAAAGGTGCGACTCCCGATCACCTGGTGCATCAGCTATGACTCCTCGTACGTCATCAAAGGAGCGCCGTCCGGTTCCTGCCGCTTGCGATGCTAAGATTGTATTCTCATGTGTTGTATGATGACGCACGACGGGTTACTCGATAGCGCACTACAACATGGGAGAGAGCGAGCGAGAGACACGGGCAGACAGACGGACAGCGAGACAGACAGAGCGAGAGAGACAGAGCGAGAGAGAGAGAGAGAACTTAAGTCATTTGCTTGATGCGGATGGCTTTCTAAAAAGATGTACTTACCCATAGGCCCTATAGTAGTTCCTTTTTGGGGTAGAATCCTATAAGGGAATCCCAAAAAGGAACTACTATGGGGCCTATGGGTAAGACTGCATGAGCCCTCACGGCCGGCCTTTGCGTGCCAGGCCGTGGCTTCGATGGGGCAACCAGGGAGGTCAGCATCAAACCCGGAGATGGCATCGTCGAGGAAGTTTAGGGCTTTAGAGCTTAGGATTTTAGGGTTTAG